GTGTGTGTCCAGCATGGGGTCACATGGCTTTGGATCGACCTCTGAGGGCTTCAAGTAACCCTCTTCTCTTCAAAATTTGAGAAATTCAGGGAAATGCAAAATTCAGTCTATGGCACAAAATAGGGCTTCCCTGGTGGCTCAGATGGTAAAGAAACTGCCTGCAATGCAGGAGACATGGGTTCAATCCCTGGGTCAGGAAGACTCCCTGGAGAAGGGAATGGCAACCCACTCCAGTATTCTTGCCTAGAGAATTTTGTGGACAAAAGAGCCTGTGGGGTCACAAAGAGTCAGACATGACTGAGCAACTAACACACATGGACATGGATCCAAAAAGTGTGAAAAATGGCAGTGTTGTACCAGAGGTGTGGCAGCAATACTGGAAGGATTAATTCACTTCATAACCAATAGTGGCTCCTGCTTGGTCTCATAAGGACCCTGGGCCCCTCACAGAAGTTGTAATTTTCTGACCGGGCCTTGAAGTCCCCTCGGAGTAATGGAATTTCCCCTGTGGTGACATAGGTGCTCTGGTTCAGCTGTTTAAACAGTGTAAGGAGCCCTGAGAGATTTATATCTCGAGGGAAGCTCCTTCCTTTGTGGGTGTTTTTGGGCAGTTGCCATGTGTTCACTTGCTCTTTTCATTCATTCATCTCAAAATGAAAGGAGCGCTTGACACAGTATCAGCCCTGTGCTCATATCCCATGTGGTCCCTGCTCTCAGGGGACTCACATTCCAGCAGAGTGACACAGGTGCTTCAGAGGAGCAGGGACCCAGAGGGAGAAGTGTGTGCGTGCACAGTCGCTCAGTCGTGTCCAGCACGCTTGAGACCTCATGGACTGTAGCCTGCCAGACTCCTCTGTCCATGGGTTTTCCAGGCAAGAATACTGGAGTGGGTTGCCATTTCCAACTCCAGGGTATCTTCCCGACCCGGGGTCGAACCCTCTTGCATCTCCTGCATTGACTGGATTCTTCACCTGCCACTTGGGAGGTATCTAGAGGGAAGCAGACGGTCTCTTTAATAAAGGGTTACTTTCCTAGGACTTCCCTGGTGGCCCAGTGGTTAAGACTTCACCTCCCAGTGCAGGGGATACAGATTTAATCCCTGGTTGGGGAGTTAAGATCCCACATGCCTTGTGGCCAAAAATCAAAAACATAAAACAGAAGCGTTGGGGAGTTTGTAATTTCCTCGGTTCTGTCTCATCACAACAAAAATTTGAAGTGATGGACAGACCAGTGTTACAACCCTCGGATGGGCCAGTGTTACAGCCCCATGTGATCTCCTCAGATGGACCAGTGTTATAGTAGAGCTCGGTTTTTTTTCTCTTTATTTTAATTGGAGGCTAATTACTTTACAATATTGTAGTGGTTTTTGCCATACATTGACATGAATCAGCCATGGGTGTACTTGTGTCCCCCATCCTGAACCCCCCTCCCACCTCCCTCCCCATCCCATCCCTCAGCGTCATCNCAGGAGGGCTGTTTATTTTACCTGAGGTTCTCACTCTGGTCCTGGAATCTTCCTTTGTTCTATTTTCAGGGGCTTTTCCCTTCTTTGTCTTTGTCTTTTAGCCACCACCATTCTGGATTTCTTTTTCCTATTCTAACTACCTAGCAAAGCAACATTGTAACAAATTCAATAAAGACTTCAAAAAAATTCACATTAAAAAAAATCTTTAAAAAAGGTGGTGGGGATACTTTACTAAGGACAGGTCAGGGGCAAGAGTCCGTGGCTGTCGGCAAAGAGAAGCAAGCCAGTGATGGGGAAGCTAGGGAGGGGCAGGTACCGTCCTGCCCTCTGACCTCCTTGCCCATCCCCCACTCCCCATATGAGCCCGGGTTGAGGTGGTTCTTGGAGACCAACCTCTGGGTCAGAGCAGGATGGAGAAGAGTAGGGTGGGTTTGGAGGGACCTCCGGCACAAAGGCCTGGGTCTGACTCTCCCTGCCTGCACTAAATGCTTCTGATAATGTCTTCCAAAACTAAATGCAAAAAAAGATGTTTTGTAATCTTCTCTGCCCCAGGAGCTTGCCAAGAGCTTCATAAGTCTGAAGGCCCTGAAATCTCACGGCAGGCCAGGAGGGAGGCTGTTTACACCTGCCGAGGTGCCCCCTGGACCCAGCACCCAAGAGTAACCCTCAGACGCAGAGGGCTGCCATTAAAAGACACCGTTACCTGCCCTGGAGCTGACACGTCACTTTCCTCGGCTCCCCTCCTCTTCCTCTCTGCTCTTCTTCCTTCTTTCTCGTGTCTCCCTCTTTCCCTGTTTTCTCTCTCTTCCTCCTTTTTAAAAATTGTTTCTTTTTGGCTGGGCCAGGTCTTCACTGCTGCCTGGGCTTTTCTCTAGTTGTGGTGAGCAGGGGCTCCTCTCTAGTTCTGGTGCGTGGGCTTCTCATTACGGTGGCTTCTTTTGTCTCCCAGCGTGGGCTCTAGGGAGCGCAGGCTTCCGTACTTGCGGCTCCCAGCCCCCGGAGCACAGGCTCGGTAGTAGCGGCTCGCAGGCTTAGTCGCTCTGCTGCTTGCGGGGTCTTTCCAACCAAGGATCAAACCCATATCTCCTGCAATGGCAGGGGGATTCTTTACCTCTGAGCCACTGGCGAAGCCCCTCTCTTCCTCCTTTGCTTAAAAAGCAAACGTGGATCTTACTCTACATATTCTCTCCCATCCTCTGCTTTTTTCCCATTAAACAACATATTATGAATATCTTTACAATCTAACAGAAAACTAAAATTCCTTTATAAGCTACTTAAAACATTGTCACATATAGCCCTAATTATTATAAAATCCACTTGAAAATGTTACTATTTTACCCTACATTTACCCTAACTTTGGTGTGCTGTTGTCTTTACCATGTATTTCATTTTTGTCTTAAAATTTAACTGATTTCATTTAATGTGAAAGTAATACAGTACATATTTTATCTTATTTATTTATTTATTATTTTTTTTTACAGTACATATTTTAAAAAAAAAATTAAAAAAATCAAACACTGGAGAAGGGTGTGAAAAAATGAAAAGTAAATGTCTCCCTGCCCACCTCACCCTCAGCTCCTGGTGGGCCAGTTAGAACTTAAAGGCACAGATTGTCAAGATCCAGTCTCACCCCTGTAAAGGAAACAATAAAGCAGTTCATGGAAAAAGACATACAAATAGATGCTCAAACTCCTAAAATTAAAATGAAATCTAATTTTACCCCCCAGTCTAGAACAGATTTGGAAGTTTGGTGAGTGTGTAAATAAGCAGTCACTCTTGCCCATTTGGGTGCAAGTATAAAGAGCTATAGCCCTTTTAAGAAGGAATTCTGAGGACTTTGAGGACTTCCCTGGTGGCACAGTGGTTAAGAATCTGCTTGCCAGTGCAAGGGTCATAGGTTCAATCCCTGATCCAGGAAGACTCCACATGCCGCCAGACAATTAAGCCCACAGAACAAACTGGTCTGTTTGCCACAATCACTGAAGCCTGACTGCCCACAGCCAGTGCACTGTAAGTAGAGAAAGCCTCCCTGCAGCAGCGAAGACCCAGTGCAACCAAATAAGTAAATAAAATTGCATACATCTCTTTTTAAAAAAGAAGGAAATTTGATAATATCTAGCAATTTTCCAAAGTGCGTACATTTTGATATATAAATGCCGAGGATAGGAATGTTTTCTATGAATTCATAACATACACTGACAAAGATGTAAGTAGCATTATTCAAAATAGTAAACAAAATAAAACAAAAACCCCCTAAATGTTCACCAAGAGAGGACCAACTGAAGAAGCATTGCAATACCCGTATACTGAAATAGTATGTAAATATATGATGAATGAGATGGATCAGTATATGCTGATGCAGAAAGCTCTTTTAGATATAATGCTAAATGATCCCATTCATCTAAATTTGTAAATTCACATAAAATACTTGCATATGCATAGTCATTCCCTGGAAAGTTGTACAATAAACTTTTACAGGTAGTGAACTCTAGAGTGTGACCTGGGAGTTGCAGGGACTTTTACTTTTCATTTTATGTCCTTGTGTACAGTTTGTTTTTAAAAACTCTGTTCATATATTATTTTCGTTGAGAGATAGGTAAATATGTAGACACATCCTTCCATCCAATGTAAATACATAAATATGCAAATAGTTTTACAATGCCTTTCTCAACTCCTGGAATAAATAATACTGACTCTTTGTACCCCTCCAGTGAGCTATGTGCTTAATGCGTATGATCTCTAATCCTCCCCACAACTAGGAAGGAAAGTATCATCAGCCTCATTTGGCCAATGGGACTGAGTATCAGAGAGTTTAAGTAATTTATCTGAGGTCACACAGCTAGTGACCCGAAGCTTGCACTCCATCCCATACCAGGTGAAAGCTTACCTTTGGTCCTGGAGCCTCCAACTAGCTGGTGACCTTGCTCAGTCATTCTGCTTCAGGGAGCCTCACTCTGCTATATTTTCCACCCATACCAGGAGGTAGCCATGAGGGTTGTGCTGGGAATGTGGGAGAATGAGGCAAACCAAAACAGATCATGTTAAGAGTTACACCACGCGTCCCACTTGTGTAGTCTTTGGAAAGTCTGATGTGGAACAAATGCAAAAAAGCTAGGCAGACTCCCTGGAGGAGGCAGGAAAGGTTACTTGCACTAACATGAACCTTTATCTATAGAGTCACATGCCAAGCCTTTTGTACGCACTTTCCCCAAAGCAGCCCACTGGCCCTGTGAGAAGGAGGGTGGCGGGGTGGGGGTGGGGGGGGGAGCGGCAAGGGCAGGATATTATCTCCTTCACCTTGATACTGAGGTCCAGGGAGGGTATGGATCCATCTCAAGTTCACACAGTTGGTGTAGATAGATGGAGCTGGGGTTCTAATCCACACCACTAAACTCTGGGCCCTGAACTCCTCTACACTCTGCCCTGTGGCGCCTCCTCAGGCAGAACATTCACATCATGCATCCCTCTGTTAGGTAAGGGAGATTCCATGCTCAGACAGGAGAAGCCAAGAAATGTCTGCCAGGGCTTGCCTGATATGAACCACTATGAAGACTTCGACCTTAACAGAACTGCTGGTTGCTTCTCAAAGTGTACACAGTCGCAGAAGGAATTCTGTCATCTGGGAAACTTGCAGAGGTAAACGGCCCTCTGAGCTGGAGCAGGAATCTGGGCCTCTTCCATAAACATTTGAATTCAAGTTCTTTATAGACATATGTTTTCATTTCTTTGGGAATGGAATTGGTGGGATATACAGTAAGTAAATATTTAACTTTATAAAAAACTGCCAAACTGTTTCTCAAAGTGGCTATATCATTTGCTTTCCCATAAGCAGTATAAAAGGGTTGTAGTTTCAATATATTTTTACAATACTGTTGATATTTTGGGTTATAGCCATTTCACTGAGTGTGGATGGTATTTCACTATGATTTTATTTGCATTTAACAAATGACTAACGATGTTGAGTAACTTTTCATGTGCTTATGTGTTTTCTTTGGTGAAATGATTATTCAAATCTTCCTCTCTTCTGAAAAACTGGGTTGTCTTCTTACTACTGAGTTTTAAGAATTCTGGATACAAGTCCTATATCAGATGTATGATTTACAAATATGTATTCTCTCCCAGTATATGTTTTGTTTTTTCATTGAAGATCAAAAGCATTTAATTTTGATAAATTCTAACTTAAATTTAAAACATATCAAAGAAATGTTCATCTAGCAAGGATATAAAATTTTTCTTCTAAGTTTTCTGCTCTAAGTGTATTGTTTGAAGTCTTATAATTAGGCTCAATTAGCATTTTTGAGCCATTTTGAGGTTCATTTTTTGTGCACAGTGTGAGATAAATGTCTAGCTTTATATTATCGCTGTCATTTTGCATTTTAATAGCTAATGGTTTTGGCACTATCTTTCCTTTTTTAACTTTTAATTAATTAATTGATTCATAGCCTCTCTGGATCTTTGCTGCTGCAAGGTGAGTGGTGGCTTTTCTTCACTGCACCGCACGGGCTTCCCATTTTGGTGGCTTCTCTTGTGTGGAGCACAGGCTCTGGGTGTTCAGGCTTCAGTAGTTGCAGCTCACTGGCCTAGTTGCCCCGAGGCGTGTGGAATCTTCCCGGACCAGGGATCGATTGAGCCCATGTCTCTGGCACTAGTAGGTGGATTCGTAACCTCTGGATCACCAGGGAAGTCTGATTTTGGCACTATTTATTAAAGAGATCATGCTTTCTCCATTGAATTGCACTGGGGAGGGCATTTCATTGAATAGCTAAATACTAGCTTCTGGAATGTCTTCTTTCCACTGAGATAGTAAACCAGAAATGAAACAACATTGATGGGGGCAAATGTAGAGATTAATGCAGCCATGAAAGACTTGAAAGAAGCAGAAGTGGTAATACCTGCCATAACTCCATTTAACACACCATCAGTCAGGTGGGACTTGGAGAATGACTTGGACTGTCATAAACTTAATCAGGTAGTGAATCTAATTGCAGCTACTGTCCCTGATGAGTATTTTTACACAAAGAAATCAACACAGCCCCTCGCTATTGCTATGCGGCTATTACATGGCTAATGGTTTTTTTCCTCCAAACCATTTTTCAAGTACTTCTAAAAGTAGTTTGCTTTTTGAAAAAGCTTTTGAAAAAAATGTTGGCTGTGCTAGGTCTTCATTGCAGCATATGGACTTTTCACTAGTTGTGGTGCAAAGGCTTCGCGTTGTGATATGTGGACTTCTTCTGTTGTGGAGCATGGGGTCTAGAGTGCTTGGGCTCAGTAGTTGCAGCACATGGACTCTAGTAGCAGTGAGGGGGATTTAGTGGCCCCAAGGCATGTGGGGTTTTAGTTCCCCAACCAGGAATTGAACGTGAGAATAGTGAAAGTGAAAGTTGCTCAGTCATGTTTGACTCTTTGTGACCCCATGGACTATACAGTCCATGGAATTCTCCAGGCCAGAATACTGGAGTGGGTAGCCTTTCCCTTCTCCAGGGGATCTTTCAAACCCAGGAATTGAACCCAGGTCTGCTGTATTGCAGGCAGATTCTTTACCAGCTGAGCCACAAGGGAAGCCCAAGAATACTAGAGTGGATAGCCTATCCCTTCTCCAGCGGCTCTTCCCAACCCAGAAATCAACCCGGGGTTTCCTGCATTGCAGGAGGATTCTTTACCAACTGAGCTATGAGGGAAGACCGTTGAACCTGAGTCCCCTGCATTGGAAGGTGGATTTTAACCACTGGACCACCAGAGAGGTCCCTGAAGTAGTTTGCTTTTACTTGGCAGAGCTAACAGTATATAGCCACAGTGTTTCCTCAGGGCTACATCAAGTCTCTTCACTGTCATAGGATAATTCACAGAGACCTCACTAATCTTGACATTCTACAAAGTTCATCATATTGACAACATTGCTAATTTGATCTGATGAGCAGAAAGTGGCAAGTAGTGAAGATGCTGTAGGAAGACACATGTGAACCAGAAGATAGGAGACACACTCCATAAGAATTCAGGGTCCCATCACCTCAGTGAGTCTCCTGGACATTCAGAGGACTAGAGAATATCAAGATGTCCCCTCCAAGGTAAAAGACAAGTTGTTGAACTTCACACCACTTACAATGAAAAAAAATGTATCATGCAAACAAGCACAAACAAAAAGATATCTCAATAGTTAAATCATTATCAGACAAAGAAGATGACCCTTAAATGGGTGTCAACTTTATAATTAAAAATTCAGTTATACATCTATGGAGAAGGGTATGGTAACCCACTCCAGTATTCTTGCCTGGAGAAGTCCATGGGCAGAGGAGACAATCCATGAGACCACATAGAGTTGGACAGAACTGAGCGACTAACACTTTCTTTTCACTTTCATCTATGCTTTAGAATTTCTGAATATATGTTACTTTCACAACTAAAACAGTTTTTTTTAAGTGCTCTGAAAACCAGATCAGAAAATCTTCCCTCAATAAAGTAAATTCACGGGCTGTTTTGTAAGAGAAAGGAATGTTTGGAATGCATGGGGTGAACTATATGTATTGTGAAATACAATTCTCTATTTTATTTGGTAACAATAAGAATCACAAAACTCTGTTTAGATTTTTGAAAGCTAAAAAATAGCATCAATTGGTGTATATCAGTCAATGGATTTGGACAGTCTCATCCCACTGTTTCAGGCTGGATGTTCTAGCTGCTTGATCCATCCAATCTCATTTGCACATGTTTTCATGGATTGTATTTTACAATATTTTTGTCATGTGGTTTCCCTGGAGTTTTATTCCTTGGTGCTGTGCTAAGTCACTTCAGTCGTGTCTGACTCTTTGTGACCCTATGGACCATAGCCCACCAGACTCCTCTGCCCATGGGATTCTCCAGGCAAGAATACTAGAGTGGGTTGTCATTTCCTTCTCCAGGGGATCTTCCTGACCCAGGGATCGAACCAGAATCTCTTATGTCTCCTGCATTGGCAGATGTGTTCTTTACCACTAGCACCACCTGGGTAACTGTGACTATTCAAAAAGTGATGTTGAAATAAAATTCTCCCTTTTGTCTCCCTTGCAAGCCCTCCATAGCTACTCCTTCCCAATAGACTTGATCTGGCTCTGTCTGCTTTTATTCCACTTCTCTCCCATTTCTACTTCAGCCTTCACCTGTTTAAAATTGCTTTTAAAACACGGGCAACACATCTTAGGACCCCGTGCTTAGGAAAAGGAGCTCTGGCCAGAGACGTTTCAGCACCATGGAGAGCATCAGGGCAAGGACAGGGTTGGGGGGGGACTTGCCTCACCGCAAATTTCTAGCCCAGTGGTCCCCAAAGTTTTTGGCACCAGGGACAGTTTTGAGGAAGACAAGGCCTCACATCCTGCTGTGCGACCCAGTTCCTAGTGGTGCACGGACCGATACCCACCCCTCTGTGGCTCCGGGGACTGGGGGCCCCTGGTCTAGCCCATGGCAAGAGGGCTACAGTGAAATAAATGACAATGAAATTTGTGTTCCATGTATTCCCAATGCCAGCTCAATTCCCATAAGTCAGTGTCCATAGAGCTAAGTCTTCAAAGGCTGAATTCCCTGTATTCACTTAGCACTTGGTAATAAATGTGACTGAGCTCTCACAGCAGGGCTTCCCTGGTAGCTCAGCTGGTAAAGAATCTGCCTGCAATGCAGGAGACCCCAGTTTGATTCCTGGGTCAGGAAGATTCCCCTGGAGAAGGGATAGACTACCTGCTCCAGTATTCTTGGGCTTCCCTGGTAGCTCAGATGGTAAAGAATCCACCTGCAATGTGAGAGACCTGGGTTCGATCCCTGGGTTGGGAAGATCCCCTGGAGGAGGGCAAGGCACCCCACTCCAGTATTCTTGCCTGGTGAATCCCATGGACTGAGGAGCCTGGTGGGCTGCAGTCCGTGTCACAAAGAGTCAGACACGACAGAGAGACTAAACACAGCACAGCAGAGCACAGCCCTCAGGCCACACACTGATCATCCCACAGTTCCGACTACTCAGAAGAATTTCTCCAAAGAAGATTTACACAGACCAATAAGCACATGAAAATGTGCTCAGCATCATTAGTCAGTAGAGAAATGCAAATTAAGACCACAGTGAGATACCACTTCACACTCCCTAGTATGGCTATAATTGAAAATGAAACAAAACAAAGTGGAAAATGTTGGCAAGTGTTGGCAAGAATCTGGAAAAATCAAAACCCTCATTCACTGGTGATGGGACTGTAAAATGATGCAGCTAATATGGAAAACAGTTGAATAATTCCTCAAGAAGTTAAACATAGAATTACCAGCAATTCTGCTCCTAGGTATCCACCCAAAAGAATTAAAAGCAAGTCTTCAGGGGCTTCCTTGGTGGTCCAGTGGTTAAGACTTCACCTTCCAATGCAGCGGGTGTGAGTTCAATCCCTGGTCGGAGAGCTAAGGTCACACATGTCTCCTGGCCAAGAAACAATAACATAAGACAGAAAAAGCATTGTTTCAAATAAAATAAAGACTTAAAAAAAAAAACACCTCTTCAAACAAAAGCTTTTATGTGCATGCAAGCAGCTCTGCTCACAACAGTCAAAAAGTGGAAATAATCCAAATGCCTGTCTATGGAAACATGTATAAGCAAAAGGCAGTATATACATACGAATGTGTATCCTTCATCCATAAAAATGAATTAAATACTTACACATGCTACAACATAGGTAAAGGTTGAAAACATACTAAGTGGAAGAAGCCAACAGACCCGATAGCACATAACTCCATCTATATGAAATATCCAGAATAAGCAAACTCATAGATTAGTGGTTTCCAGAGCCTAGGGGAAGAGTAACTGCTTAATGGGCTCAGGGTTTCCTTTTAGGGTGATGGACATTTCTGGAGCTAGATAGCAAAGATGATTTCATATATTGTGCATGTCTTAAATGCCACTGGATTGCACACTTTAAAACAGTTAACATGACAAACTTTGCATTGTAATGTGTTTTGTTACCAAAAAAGAGAAACATGTACTCAGAGGGGCCTCTGACTAGAATTTCTCAGAACCAGCAAGAATCACTCCCACGCACCCCTCTTCTCCTACAGCATCATGGTCCTCCTTTTGATATCCTGGGTCACCCCTCCTACACCAAGAACCTGATGATTGCTGTCCACGGTATTCCTCCTCCTGTCATCCAGGTGAGTGGACCAGGTGAGTGAGTGACTCAACCTGCAAGACCCTATTTTCCCTTGTAGATATTGGCTGAACTTCGAGACCTATCTGGTGGAGAAGAGTCAGACGGACACATTGAATACGTCTTTTTTGACAGCGCTCATCAAGAGCATCAACACCAGTGTCTCAGAAGACCTGTACTTCTCTCTGACCCCCTCTCAGGTGAAGACTCCCCCATCCCCTTTGGTGGGTTCTGGCCCTACTTTCCTCAGGCATATTTTTCTGAGAGAATCATGGTCTGTGCTTGGGGTCCACCAACAGTTGTCTTTCCCATGTCATGCTGGGTAGTTCTCTGCCACCTGGCTAGTGCGTGCTGGTGAGTTAACTGGATGAGTGGATCCTGGTAACAGGTTATCCAGGGTGCTAGCATGAGACCTTCAGAAAATCGCCAAATTGAGAGTCAGGGTTCTAGTCCTGGACTTCCCCCCACCTGACAAAGTGTCCCCCAGGAAATCCCCTCCCCTCTCTGGGCCCCTGAATCCTCATCGATAAAATGAGCTTGAAAGCTCCTCCAAAGTCTGACATTCCCATGAGAACATCTATCAGGGAACACATTAGAAACCAGGTAAAGGCACTGATAGAGGTACTGCAAAGGGTTAACAGGCAGACTCCGGGTTTGCACTGGTCTGGATTCTGCCCCTCACTCGTTACTGTGATCTTGGGCAAAGTACTGAACTTTTCTGAGCCTCGGTTTCCCCATCTGTAAAATGGGGATGGTATTGCCCACTTCCAAGGTTATCAGAGAGAGCAAATGCAATATCTTACACGGAATGTTTGGTGCAGTGAGGGCACAGCCTCCCTCAAGGCATAAAGCGGAGCGTGGAAGTTTGGGCAGCAGGGAAGTGGTCTGTCACTGAGGGACTTTTAGGTCAGCCTAGAGAAGGAGAGATGGAAGATGGAGGGGCCTTTCTCAACCCTTTATCACATCACCCTAGCAGCTGAGCCCTCTGTGTGGGGTAGGCACCGGCCTCTGAAATCACCCACTTGTCCTTTTGACAAGGTTCTGTGCTAGGAAGCAGAAAGTTGAGCTCTTAGCTACAACACTTAGCTCCCCCTTTCCCCATGCCCATGGGTGCTTTTGAGGCAGGATCAGGTGGGACCAGGCTGCGGCCCCAGAGGTGTTCCCTGTGAGGTCACAGAATGGACGAAACACGCTTGGCAACTACCCGTGAAAATTTATTTTAATATTTTGAACATTCTTAGCTGTTACAAAATGTGTTGTTGGGTGGGGACGGATATCACATTTAACATGAATTCTTGTATTCTTCCTCTTTGTCCTCACTGTCTCCCTTCCCGACGGCGTTATGCTTTCCGATTATCCCTGAGTCAGAAACCAGACACTGTCACCGTAGCCCTATGCCAGCACAGCAGGGGTCAGGACCCTGGCCAAAAGCACTACCACTGACCCTTCCTCACGCCTGCAAACTGACCTGTCCAGGTGTTGCCCCTTCATAGCCCACTTTCAGCCTGCCTGACCGTGGCCACATGACCACCTTGCTGGCTCCATTCTCCATATTGGGAAAACCGAGGCTCCACAAGGGCTGTGACTTGGCCAGGGGCTCACAGCCTGATCAGAGCAGAGCTTGGACTGTGTCCCAGGTGTCCTGCCTCTCAGAGCTGTCCTCAGACCCTGGTGCTGTCCCACCACCTAGCGTGCCTCAGTTTCTCCTTCCAGTTGGGGGAGGGGCAGGAGCTGTGTTGGGGCTGGGCTCCTCCAGGAAAGACAGAAGTGGCTGGGTCTGTGGTTGCAGATTCCGAAGCAGGTGACCAAGGATGATCACCAGCACCCTGACAGAGTCCGGCTACCCAAGAGCCTTTTCGGACCCCTTAAGAGCGGCAGGCCGATGGTCCGGTTGGGCATAATCATCCTGGACGTCGGTCCGGGGAATGTCTTCAAGGTGAGGAGAGATACAGGCTGGCTGAGATTCAATACTGGGTTCACTGGGACATGCTTGCCTCCTCTGGAGTCTTTGCTGAAGGACCCAATGGGGACAAAGGAAGTGCTGAACATCTGCAGAATGTTCCTCAAGCAGCCAAGGTCATCTAGACCCCTGTCCTTAGAGTCTGGACCTCAGGCTCATGCTGGTTATTCCCATTTGGTAGACTGCACGCACCGCCCTGCCCCCACCAACCGGTGTCCCTGGGCTTGTATCTGTATCCCAAGTGAGTTCATGTCCTGTGTGCACCCTTGTCCATGCACAAACATGCATCCCTTTTCTTATTCCTGATTGCACACATAATCATGTATGTGCTGGTGTGACCATGTTCACTCAAGCGAGCATATGCATTCCCTTGCAAATGTGCACCAGGTATGTCCCCAGAGGTGTGTCTGCAGTCACATGGGGGCTTGTGCACCCCTGAATGCTGCTGGCCAGGGGCTCCCCACCTGGAGGCATCCACTGTCCTCCACCTCTCAGCTGATCTTCCTTCTTACCATGTGCTCCAGTTAAGAGGGCAGAGGAGGCCTGGGCACCAGAAATGGACAGCTATCAAATACATAGCGTAGTGGCCATTCGGCCTAGAGTGTAGGGTCTGTCCTGGCACAGCTGGTGCAGACTTCGGAGAGCAGCAGGAAGAAGGTCGCCCATGACCCCCTATCCCCTGGACCTCTGGCTCCAGACTTTTCCCTCCAGGCAAGGTGCACAAGCCCTAGAGGGTCCTAGGATCCCCTACCAGGGTTGGGTCGGGGGAGCCCCTTGTGTAACCCGGCTTCCCCCGCATCCCTCCACAGGGCTCCCTGCTCAGCCGGGAGGACGGCAGCAGCGTGTTGAACAATCGCATGGTGGGCTTGACTCTGGGTCACATAAATGTCATCAAACTGGCCGAGCCTTTGGAGATCACCTTCTCCCACCAGTACCAGCCCTCTGTGAGTCCCCCACCCTGGCCTGGCAGTTCCTGAGGGGCACATGGGCAGGTGGGCATCCCCAGGCATATAGACAGACATGCAGGGGACTCTGCACCCCCCTACCCTCCCACATCCACCTGGGAGAAGCCATTAGAACCAGACACATAATTGTGCCCATGGACACATGTTCAGCCTATGCACGCATGTCCACGTGCCTCCCAACATGCTCCACTCACGTGCTCCCAGAGGGACCCAGTGGATCTGGCAAACCCACACATGCACACACAGCTTTGCACATCTGCTCACATGTGCACTTCCCTAAAGGAGCCCCCAGACATACGCCCCTCCCACCCACACCAGTCCACACCCCACACGCTGACCTGGGATACATCAAATGCTTCAAATGTGGTTCCTGTGTAACTACAGGCTGAGCCTTGCTTCCACCTAATGCAGGCATGTGCTGAGATACGGAGCATGCCCCGCTCCCCCAAACTTCCTCTCCCCGTGCCCAATCACCCCTGCCTCACCCCTGACTCACACTCTCTGGTTTTAGAACATGAGCCTCAGCTGTGAATTCTGGGATGCAACTAAAGGTAGGGCCTGGAGGACCTTCCCCGGGTAAGGGGAGGGTAAGGGTAAGTCCTGTCCTCAGGGGACAGGACTCCAACAGCAGGGCCGTCCCCTCTTCCTTTCCTCTCCGGAACTCTCTCTTCCCTTTTCCTGCCCTCCCCTCTGCTGTGCTCCCTCTCCTTCTCCCCTGGGTCATCAGGAGACTGGTCTTCCAAGGGCTGCTCCACAGAGGTCGGAGTCCGCAGGACGGTCTGCCGCTGTGACCACCTGACCTTCTTCGCCCTGCTGCTGGTAACAGTGCCCCTCCCCGACCATCCCAGCAATTCCAGAAATGCCGAGGCTCCTGGCCCCGGTATCTGGGTGGCTGTGGGCAGGGGCTAGGCCTTTGGGGTGTGCGGGCCTGGCCTCCAATTGATAGGATTCTCATTGGGGGAACCACCCACAGAGGCCGATCTTGGATGAGGCCATGGTGCAGGCCCTCATACACATTTCCCAGGCTGGCTGTGGAACCTCCATGATCTTCCTGGCCTTCACCATCATCCTCTACGCTGTCCTGAGGTGAGTCACCCCATCCCAGTCCCCCCCCCTCACATCTCCTTCCCACCCTCCAGGACAGTAGCAGGGCAGGGTAGAAACCAGCAGAGTAGTGTTAATCCTGTGTTATACTCATATTTTCTCCAAACCTCAAGTTCATCATCTATAGAACAGAATTGGAGGCTGAAAAGTGTCTGGCTATTTCAGTTACAGGTGGCAGAAACTCAACTCAAATTGACTTAAAATAGATAACGCATGGTTCACAGGGTTGAAAAACCCAAGGTGATCTCAGTTCAGGTGATGCTGGATCCAGGTGCTCAAAAGATGTCCCTGGGACTCCGTGTCCCTCTGATTCTCACCACTTTGCTTTCTCCTTTGCCAGTCATGTCAGGCAACTTCTCCATATTCAGGGGCCTTGGGGAGCCCCAGGCTTGCATCATAGCTTCTTAGCTGCCTAAACAGCTAATCTTCTGAACTAAGCCTCAGAATTGAAGTCTCTAAAAAAAACTTTATTTTGAAATCATTATAGACTAACAGGAAGTTGCAAAAATAGTACCTAGAGTCCCAGGGTTCCTTCATCCAGCTTTCCGCAGTGATGGCATTTTCTGTAACTGTAGTACAGCATAAAACCAGGAAATTGATATTGGTTCAGCACTGCTCTTCAGAGAAGGAAATGGCAACCCATGCCAGTATTCTTGCCTGGAAAACTCCATGGACAGAGGAGCCCAGGTGGGCTACCGTCCATGGGGTTGCAGAGTTCGGATGTGAATGAGCAACTAACACACATACAACGCTCACACACACACACACACACACACACACACACTCTCAGCACTGCTAACGAGAATACAGAGCTCACTCAGTTTTCACCATTTTCCACATGCATTCAATTGTGTGTGTGTATGTATGTGTGTGTGTGAGCATGTTTACACATGCACATGGGACTGGCTAAATCATTTGCAGGGCCCAGTCCAAAACGAAAACATGTAGCCCCTCATTCAAAAATCATTAAGAATTTCAAGATGGTGACAAGAGAGCTTTAAAACAAGCATAGAGCCCTTCTGAGTGCAGGGCCTGCAGAGGTCACACCCCAAGAAGCTGAGCCTGTGCTTGCCCTGTGTGTGTGCATGCATTCAGTTTTGTCCCTGTTCCGCAGAGTTGAATCTCACTGGTGTGACTTAGACCATGTGCCCATGACTGAACAAGCCCACTGTGGTGAAAGGATGGATGACTCTGATTGGTCAGGCCAGATCACGTGCCTGCTCTTGGGTTTGAGGTTCACGGCTGAGAGTAGGGCAGTGTACTCCTTGGGGAAACTGAGGGCTGTTCCCGGAAGAAGGAGGAGCAGGTACAACAGAAGCCGCTGCAGCCGGTCCCAGGCTCTCCCGGGCCCTGGCCATGGCTGAGGGACCCACATGAACTTCTGCTGAAGGAACCCGTGGGAGCAGCCCCATGCCTGGCCTTCTGAACCATGACCAGCTTGGAGCAGCCCTCGGTCTCCCGACTCCCAGTCTGGATCCTCCCATTGCCCTCCTCCACATGCTGGTGCTGTTTTCCTGGGGGGGCTGAGGCCCCCACCAGCTCCACCCCCCACCCCATCTCAGACCAAATGGTGAGTGTGAGTGGTGCCAGCCCTGCCCCCATCCCCAAGCCCTGGCCCAGGACACGACAACAAGCTGAGCGTGACTTGCCAGCTGGTTGCCCTGCTGGACCCTGTGGGAAGCGCTTGGAGCGCCAGGAGGAAGTGTCAGTATTTCCCAAGGGTGGGGCCTGGCTTCTCAGGTGAGGTGGACATCATCCCTCCGGCCCCCTCCAGGCACAGTCCTGAGGGCGCATCCCTCCAGTGAGAGTCCTGCGGGAGCTGATTGGCTAGGAAGCTGCCGTGAGCTCCCCCGAGCAGGCGGGGAGCCCTGGCCTGGGAGCCTGGGGCCCCTGTCCTGCGCTGTGACTCTGAGTCCCTGTCCATCTCTGAGCCTCACCTCCTTACAATTTCTAGGCCTCGGGCATCCATGCGCCATCCGTCCAGTCACTCAACCAATGCAGGGCCTCCTCCTGCTTATTGAGCTAGGCCCACGGTCACAGCCTGGGGAGAGACGGAAATAAGGGGCAGGAGAGTTACACCCCACTCGCTTCTGGGAGACTTCCACCTAAGCCTGGGATAAGTGGCCTCCAGAGACAGCCTTTGCAGGAGGAACATCCAAGGAGGGTTTTGAAGGTGGAGCAGGGAAAGGCACCTGAGAGCAGAAGGAAGAGCATGGGCAAAGTCTGGGAGTTGTGGAGGAGCAGAAGGCATTCAGAGAGTTGCAAGTTATGCAGTTTGGCTCTAGCATGGAGTCAAGGAATGAAGCCAGAAAGATCCAGAACCCACAGGGTCCTGCAGGTCATGAGAGAGCCCCTGGACTTGAACCAGAGGGTGCTCATACTGGCAGAGATAGAACAGAGGTGGTCAGACGGAGAGGTCTTTCTTCACTGGCCCTTCTTGCCCCAGGTTCTCCCGGCAGAGGTTCAAGTCTGAAGACGCCCCCAAGATCCATGTGGCGCTGAGCATCAGCTTGTTTCTCCTGAATCTGGCCTTCTTCATCAATGTGGGGCAACGCCTTAAGGGGTCCAAAGCTGCCTGCTGGGCCCGGGGGGCTGTCTTCCACTACTTCCTGCTCTGTGCCTTCACTTGGATGAGCCTGGAAGCCTTCCACCTCTACCTGCTCGTCATCAAGGTCTTTAACACCTACTTCGGCCACTACTTCCTGAAGCTGAGCCTCGTGGGCTGGGGTAGGTGTCTCCTGGCCAGGCAGAGGGTTGGCTGGCTCTGTCTGGATGAGGCCAGAAGGGGAGCAGCCTTGGGGAGGGCCACGGGCAGGGGCAGCTCCGACTCTGATTGGCTCAGAGCTCGAGAGATGGACCGCGGGAGGGGGATGTGAAGGAGGACGTGCCAAGGGAGCCTCAGCTATGCCATCCTCCCCTCCTTGCCCCCAGTCCTGCCTGCCCTAATAGTCATCGGTACTGGGATCGCCAACAGCTACGGCCCCTACTCCATCCGTGATGAGAAGAACGTCACCATACTGGAGCTGTGAGTGGTGGCTGTGGGAGTTGGGGTGACCTCAGGGCCCTGGGAGCACAAATTAGGGCCATAAAGAGGTGGGGAGAGGGGAGAATCCTGGGAAGAGAGACGTGTAAGTCAAAGCCAAGGATCCTCAGATCCAGCTAGCTCATGGCCTGGAGGGGAAAACTGAGGATGGAGAGAGGAAGGACAAGGAGAGAGGGGGCTGAGAAGGAGAGAGGACTGGACCAGGAGGCAGGACGCCCTGCTCCAGCCTGCGGCACCACCAGCCTCTACAGCACCGTTGGGAAAATTTTAAAAGGTACCCCCTCTACCCCTCTGACATACCATGCCAGATGCCAGCCTGGTGAGTGCAGGGTGAGCTGGATTTCAGCCTCCACCTGCCCCCCCAGCCAGGTCCCCTTGTGCAGGGCATAACTGTCCAGTGCTTGCAGCAGCCCTGGTTCTATGTAGACTCTGCCTCTGAGTTGCTGTGTGACCGTGGGCAAGCTCAGCCTCTCTCAGAGCCTGGGTATCCTCCTGTGGGTCAACAATGGAGGATGATCCACACTCGCTTTGGGGCCTTTCCCAGGGGCCCGCGACTGAGACCCGAGACTCTGTGCTAAGAAGAGTTGGTGAAGCCTTGGTGCTGTGCCCAGGGCCTCAAATGTAGAGTCCCAGGGGCCAGACAGGTAACATATATGCATGCCGTGGCTTAGGTGGGCACGGCCGCAGACTGGCAATCACACACCAGCCTAATTGGCAGCTGATTACTGTCCCTCCGGAGGGTGTCCACAGAGCTGTCAGTTGTATGGTTTCATAAGAGAAGCAGAAATTGGCATATTTAGGGAATTCCCAGGTGGTCCAGTGGTTAGGACTTGGTGCTTTCACTGCCAGTGCCTGGGTTCAATCCCTGGAGCGGGAACTAGGATCGAACCCAGGTCTCCTGCATTGCAGGCTGATTCTTTACTGTCTGAGGCTCCAGCAAAGCCCAAGATCCCATAAGCCGAGTGGAATCTGGATGTATATGCCAAACCTTTCACTTTTAAAAGGGTGTTCCTTTTTTCTCCCCCCAATATAAGGTGGGGTGAACATAACATGCCTTTGGGACCAAATCGGCCTTTTGTACCCACTGGTCTAAAGGGATAGATAGCTACCTGGAGGCTCATGACATCCTGGAGTCTCTTCCCTGGGAGAGCAGGGGAAGGATGGGTGGATATGGGGGCGGTGCATCTTCTTGGTCAGAGAAGAACAGGCTGGGGAGACTGCCCGGAGCTTGCTCTCAGGGGACCTCCTCTGGCCCCAACGGCCACCCCTCTCCTCCAGGTGCTGGTTCCGTGAGAACACTGCCCTCTATGTCGTTGTGCACGGCTATTTCCTCATCGTTTTCCTCTTCAGCGCTGTGATCCTGAGCCTGGTGTCCTGGAAGATCTTCACTCTGTCGAGTGCCACGGCGGGCAAGGAGAAGGCGCAGCACTGGAAGGGCGTGCTCACCCTGCTGGGCCTCTCGTGCCTGGTGGGCATGCCGTGGGGGCTGGCCCTCCTCACGTCCCTGGGCCCATTCACCGCCTATGTCTTTGCACTGTTCACCTCTCTGCAAGGTGAGGCTCCTGGGCTAGGGAGGAGACGGGCTGCCTTCCTGCACCAGAGGGTGTTGGGGGGCTTTGGAGGAGGGTGTAGATAGCAAGAAACACGATTCTACTCAGGCTCGCTCAAATCAGTGTTGTTGTTTAGTCGTTAAGTCAAGTCCGATTCTTTTGCAACCCCATGGATTGTTGCCCTCCAGGCTCCTCTGTCCATAGAATTTCCCAGGCAAGTATACTGGAGTGGGTTGCCAGTTCCTTCTCCAGGGGATCTTCCTGACCCAGGGATTGAACCTACATTTCCTGCATTGGCAGGTGGATTCTTTACCACTGAGTCACCGGGGAAGCCCGGTGATTCTCAAGGGTACTGATTTTAAATTTCCAAGGCTCTCCCAAGGACCCCAGGGCAGGAAGACTGGCTGACTTCATGGGAGCTGGTAGCAGGGTCAGGAAAAGCCACCAAAACCAAAGCAGATACTTGCTCCATCTTTTTCTCTGGAGTCACAAGAAGTCTCTCCCCTTCTCTCTGCAGTAACTTTTCCCCTCCACTGGCCCATTCTTACCCATGTCCTCCAACTGGCTGCCCAAGATGACCACCTCATCCCTATGTCATCTTCCTAGTCTGCTGACCGTGGTCTGGTTCAGTCTCTTCTATGTTCTTAGGAGAGTCAAGGATCTGACTGGGCCATCAGACATCCATCTCTGGTCCAGCCATCTGTGGCCAGGAGAGCAAGATCATGTGATGTGATGGCTACGTAACATGAACAGAGTCTTGAAGGGTCTGTGGAGGCGGGAAGGAAATGATTAGTGGAGGAAATGGTAGATAAGCTTGCTCCCTGCCCCCACAGGGATTTTCCTCCGATACCCAGCAAAGGGCCAGGCACTCAGGGTGCACGTGGGGCAGGGTTTCCCTGCCTGCACGTGTCCCCTTTCCTCCTCATATCCCTGTTTCATACACGCAACTTAAAGAAGTATATCACAGCCTGACGGTGAGGGAAAACAGCCCGGAGAGGAATGGCAAGTGTGGCTTTGACTCACAGTCTCATCCTGTCCAGAGCACTCACTAGGGGCGCAGGGGGTCTAGATCCAGCAGGTGCAAGCCCACAGGAGCAGGGCTGGCTCCCGGTGCCTCACAAGACTGCATGGCAACATGGTTGGCAGCACTGGGTACAAGCAGTACTTCTTGTTTAGTTGCTAAGTCATGTCCAACTCTTTCCCAACCCCGTGGACAGTAACTTGCCAGGCTCCTCTGTCCATGGGATTTCTCAGGCAAGAATACTGGAGTGGGTTGCCATTACCTTCTCCAGGGGATCTTCCTGACCCAGGGATCAAACCTACGTCTCCTGCATTGGCAGGCGGATTCTTTACCACTGAGCCACCTGGGAAACCCGGGGAGAGGCAGACCTAGGTTCAAATCCTGCCTCCACTCACCACCCCAACAACTCATTCAACTCCTCGGATCCTTGTCATCTGTACAGTTGGGATAATCCCAGTACTTTTCTCACCAGATCTCATGATGAATAACTGAGATAATGTGTGTGTGGGTCACAGTAAGCCTTCAATATGTGGGAACTATGTTAACAACAGAAGTCATTACTATTAGGCCATCAGAGACTGGCCCTAGATGAAGATTCATGAGTCCACATCTGAGAAGTCTCAGGGGTTAAGGTTTGGGGGCACGTCTTGAAACTGTGAACTGTCATTCTTCCTGAGGTTACCCATCATAGCTAAGTCTGAACACTTCACCGCACTGAGGTTTTCGACTCTGAGTAACTCAGTATTTCTCTCTTTCTCACAAACAGAGCCTTCAGCCCCACTTTAACTGCCCTTGAAGTCTTTTCAATATTTTTTTAAACGTTTACTTGTTATATTTTTGCCTGTGCTGGGTCTTCATTGCCGCACACAATCTCTTTGTTGTGGTGTGTGAAGTTTTTTAGTTGTGGCACACAGGATTTGTTTCCTGGTGGCATGCGGGATCGTAATTCCCTGACCAAGAAACCTGTGTCCCTGCATTGGAAAGCAGGTTCTTTACCAATGGACCACCAGGGAAGTCCCCTCAATACTTTTATTGTGGTCTAGGGTTTTAGTTCTAAATTTCTTTTAAAGACACAAAAAGATTTTTACTTCTCCCTCAATGTCTATACTTACTACAGTTTTCATACCTCACACCTTCCCTCTTCTTGCTGAAGCACATCCTGGAATAATCCTTTATAAGAGGGGCAGTGGTCGTTGTTTCGTATGGTTGAAAAATCTCTTCATTTCGGCCTTTGTTTTACGTGATAGACATGTATATAGATTTTATTTCAAGGACTGGTTTTCAGTCCCAAGATGTTGATTAGGTCCTTTTTCAGGAGCAGATTTCATCTTGGGGGCTGATGTGTCTGTGCATTCTGGAACCTGTGCAGCGGAGCGGCTTCCCTCTGGGCAGCCGCCAGCCCCGCCCTGCCCCGCCCTGCCCCGCCCTCACCGAGCTGGGCCCGATCCAGAAGTTCTCCTGTTGCACGTACTTGACATTCTCGTAAACCCCACGGTTGCGCAGCACCTGGGAGGTGGAAAGGTAAGACAGAGCTCGGTCGCGCCCCCTCCCGTCAGAGTGGGCGGGAGGGAGTCCAGACTTCGCAAGGCGGGGCCGGGAGGGCACCCGGAGGGCACCGGTCTCACCGAGTCTACAGTCTCGTGCTGTGAGAAGCCCACGGGCGCCACGCCATAGATGCACACGGCTAGAATGGTGACGAGCGAGTGCACGAAGGTGAGCCAGTAGGTGAAGAAGGGCCTGCGGGGCAAAGCGTCAGCAGAGGCGCCATCCCCAACCTGGAGCGCCCGCGCCCACCTGGAGCCTTGCCTGCCCTAAACCCCTCCCCTCGTGGCCTACCTGTGGTCGTCCATGTCCTCGATCTGGCGTTTGACATAGCTGTCGATTCGCTTGCGGTAAGTGCGGTTGGTTAGCCGGCCCACCATGCCCAGCCCATACGGCCGCTTCTCCCTGGCAAACAACTTGCGCACCGGCATCGCGATGCGCTGGCCCCGCCGCTGCCCCACCGTGCTCACCACCTCCTGCCGCAGCCGCACCTTGGGCTGCGGGGCCGCTGCACCGCCCTCCTTCTGCTTGCGCCAGCCACGTTCCAGGGGCCTGGGGAGGGGGGCACTGTCACCGCCAGCCCCAGAGCGCCCACACGCTGCAGTCCATCCCCGGAGGGGCCAGGACGACCCTCCGAGTCTGTCCTGCTCCCATGTGCGACAGGCTGAAGTCAGCCCCGCCGAGCAAGGGCTCACTGAGGCTCTCTCCCCCCGACAGGCGTCTTCATCTTCTGCTGGTTCGTTGTCCTCTACTGGCCACGCCAGAGCGCCGTGACCTCATCTGGCACTGCCCGGGTTGACCACGCCCACACCGTGTCTCATGAGTAGAGGACGGCCGTGTGGCCAGGCCGGGCCCGCCCTGCGCTCTGGACCCAGCTCTAATCTGCTGTGTGACCCGGGGGTGGGGGGAAGGGGGTCCCTGCCTCCTTCTGGGCCTCAGCACCCTTCTCTGTACCACGTGACTGGGGGGCCAGGGGATGGGAAACACGTTGGGCCATGTTGTCTCAAGGGTCTTATTCAGATACACCTATGGCTCTGAGAGTTCACAGATCCAGGACGGCAGGAGTCTCAAGGCCCTGTAATCCTGAGACCCCTGCCGGCACAGAGCGACACCCTCACCCCGCCCCCAAGCCCACCCCCTGCCCTCAGAGCAAAACGGCCTTCTAGTCTGAGAAAACCTGAGTTCCGAGAAGGCAGTCGGTCCTCGGCCTCGCGAAGGAGTCCCCAGCCGCTCCCCTTCCCCCCTTCCCCTCATCGCTGCCCTCCCACAGCTCCGCCCTTGGGCCGCCTGTGCCTGAGGGGACAGTCAGGGCCGCCCGCTCAGGCGTGGGGGGCTGCTGTGGACTGGAGGTTTGTTCTGAGGGGGCGAGGGGCTGGTCCTCCTCTGGCCTCACGGGTCTCAGCCACTCTCTCCAGGGCCCGTCCTCACAGAGGTCCCCCTGCCGTTCAGGGGCGCCGGCAGCCTCTCAGGTGCTGGGACACTGAATATCAAGGAGTGCCACTTACTCAGTAGGTGAGCTACCTCAAGGAGTCCCCCAGGCCCTCCTCTGGACTGCCTCGCGGTTCCCTGATACCGACCAGGGTCCTTGGCCATTCTCGACCAACAGACATTGCCGGGAGGCCAGAGGAGCAATTCAGGCAAGGCTTTATGGGGTCCCCTGCTGCAGCAGGGGAAAGTGAGAACCAACAACAGGTTGCCTTGCTTGCTCGCTCCCTGAGGGCAGGGGTGGTGAAGCTAATTCCCTTCATGGGGTGAGGGTAGGGGTATGTCCAGGGGTTGGGCTGGAAGCCTGGTTTAGGTGGTTTGCCCAGCCTTCTGGTGGTGCTGAGTACAGGGGGCATGCGCAGTACCCAGCTTTTTTCCCCCCGACACCCTGTTTTTATTTCTGGCTCTTCAGAAGTGGCATTAGGGACTTTTTTAGCTTAGTTTTGTTTCTTTTGCCCAACATTGGCTTCAACTACACATGCACGCAGTTACTTTTAGTCCCATATAGCTTCTCTGCATTTTGTTGCTTGAGGAGAGGTTTGCCCAGGTGGCAAGCACTGCAGCAGAATATCCCAGGTCCCAGCTGGTCTCAGGTGGACTGACCTCTGACCTGCTGTCTTGGTGGGGGTGGAGGGCGTGAGGTTCAGGGCTCAGCACACAGGAGGGCTGAGGAGCCAGTGCAGGGGGAGGGGGTTGTGAACAGGGAGAGGGAGCATCGAAGCTCCCATAGTGCCAGGGGAGTCCTCAGGCCAGACCCAGCTGGGTTTGTCACTCTCAGTGGCTGGGCTTGGCTTTGAAACCACTGGTTTCCTCAGTAGGAAACAAACAAGAGGCAGAGACAGTAGAGATAGACACAGAGATAGAGAGATAGAGAGAGATAGAAAGATAGACTGATTAGACTGATAGAAAGATGAACAGATAACTGACCCAAAGAAAGAAAGCAAAAGGAGAGAGACAAATGCAGGGACATACTCGCCCGCCGGGCTGGCCCAACCAGGAGGGCAGGGCGCTGGTGTCCACCCCGCTCTCTGCCCGACCCTGCACCTCACCCAACTTACTGTTCAGCCTCACCCTTCAACCCCCTACCTCCTCAGTGTGCTTTGCAGAAAGTCTAGCACCTTCCACAGGTGAGAAGTTATTACAATTAGAGCCTCACCACAACCCCTGGCTGCCAGTCTGCCTCCTCCCCACAAATGCCCTGGACTTGGATTCCCCTTCTCCCTCCTCCCACTCAGCAAACTGATGAAAGAAAGGAAGCCCAGGACCCTGGCTTTCTGCAAATCACTGTGTCCCTAGAAGGGAAATCTTAAGAGTGTGGACACTGCAACTGTTGAGCCACGCTATCAGTTTTTGGGGACAAACTTGGTGGGTTTCAGGGCTTATCTTCACAGACATCAATTTCTCACACCTCTTTGTGACACCATGGACTACAGCCTGCCAGGCTTCTTGGTCCATGGGATTTTCCGGGCAAGAATACTGGAGTGGGTTGCCATTTCCTACGCCAGGGGATCTTCCCAACCCAGGGATCGAACCTGGGTCTCCTATTTTGGCAGGTGAATTCTTTACCACTGAGCCACCTGGGAAGCCCATTGAGTCTTAAGTGAGGTGATCAAAGTAAAGTGCCCGACATTAAGTCAGCTGGAGTTAGTTTGCTCCATGAGAAACCACTTGGCCTAAAGAAAACCTGGGTATAAAGCAAACCATGAGCTTCTGCAACCTGTTTGTTAACTAGGAGGGTGTGAAGTTCAAAGCTCCCTTCTATCAAGAGGGAGGGGACATACATATACCTATGGCTGATTCATGTTGATGTTTGGCAGAAACCAATCCAATATTGTAAAGCAATTATCCTTCAATTGAAAATAAAAACATTTTTTTTAAAAAGCTCTCTTCCAGATTCCTTGCACAGCTCTGCCAAGTGGTCCAGCCCTGGGTGGGGAGGAGGAAATTGAGCCCAGAGAGACCCAGCAACCCCGCCCAAGACCACCTTGCGAGCTGGGCCGATGCTAGAGCTGGGGGCGCCCTGGGTTTAGAGTTATTACCTTGTCCCTGACCTCAGAGTCTCAAGGGAAATCCTGGGAAGTGGCTTTTTTCTTGCTTTCTCCTTGCTTTCTCATTTAGACATGTTCAGTGGGATGAGGGACTGATAGAACCACAAGCCCTGGATGGGCAGGGTTTCCAGGTGCAGTTGGGGAGAGCCGATGGGGTGCGTAGCTAACAGCAGAGATGTCCTATTTGCTGCCTGGCTCTCCACCCCAGGGACAGGCAGCGGCAGAAGGGCTGGGGTCCCTCATTGCTTGAAGTCACTGCAAAAGTGGCTCCAAGCACCAAGTTGAGCACATGCTAAGCCAGGGAGGGCTATGGCAAAAAAACACCCAAAGGTCCACCCAGACAGACGAAGTTCTTCTGTCACTGACACATCTGAAGGACAACCTAGGAGGTGGACAGCCCGATGGTCAAAAGCACAAACTCAGAGGTCAGCCTGCCTGGTCCAAGTTCTTTGCCTTGGACCAGTTCCTCACCTACTGAATCTGTAAAGCAGGGATGACGGCAGCTGCCCGACAAGGCTGATGATTACATGAGATAATGGCTAAGAGGGCTGCCCACCCAACACAGTGTGACTGTGACTAAGCCGGAACCCGGCTTTGGCTGACACCTTATCAAGCCGTAGGCAGCAGTGGTCATCTATGTGCTGCAGGAAGGGTGTCCTCTCATTGTGGTTCCCTGCCAGGTTCTCTCTGTCTGTCCCAACTTCTTCTTTCCTAATACTTTTTCATTACAATGTAACAAATAGGTAGGAAGTAAGAAGACCTACTTGCTTCATGCTTTCAGAGAAGCAATTTAATATCAAAAGATAAAAACTCTTTGCAAATTGATCTATGAATACAATGTAATTCCAATAAAGATTCTAAGTGATTTTTTTAGGCTTTCTGAAACTTATTCTAAAATTTATGTGAAAGGATTTCCCTGGTGGTCCGGTGGTTAAGAATCTGCCTGGCAATGCAGGGGATGTGGGTTCGATTCCTGGTCCAGGAACATCATTTGCCTCCTGATCTACATGCCGCGGGGCAACAAAGCCTGTGGGCCACAACTTCTGAGCCCATGCACCCTAGAGCACGTGCTCTGAAACGAGAGAAGCCACCGCAATGAGAAGCCCATGGACTGCAACTAGAAAAAGCCCATGCACAGCAATGAAGACCTAGCACAACTAAAAGGAAGTAAATAAATAAAAAATTTAAAAACTAAATAAAATAAAATTTATACTAAGGCATATGGGCCTCAAATAGCTCAGTCATCCTTAATGAAAGAAGGCATAGAAGAAAGAATTGACCTGTAGATATAAAGAGTGTACAAGGCCGTAGTGGTCAATTCAACATGGAGTCTGTGCAGGGACAGACATGGAGACCAGTGGAATAGAACAGAAGGCTCAGTGGCAGACACGTGTACACCTGGGGGACTTAATGTATGACAAGAGTGACATCACGAGGAAGGGACAAATGATCTGATGATGGTGTTGGAAAATTAACTCATTGTAAGGGGAAACATAAAACAAAATCCCTACTTAACTCCTCATACAGAGGTGGACTTCCGGCCGAGTAAAGGTCTAAATGGCATGGCAAAATTATAAAGCTAACATAGGAAAATATTTTTTATTGCAGTATAATTGCTCTACAATGCTGTGTTACGTTCTGCTGTACAATGATGTGAATCAGCTGTATACATACATCCCCTCTCTGTCGCGCCTCCCTCCCATCCCCCACCCCACCCCACTAGGTCATCACAGAGGGGAAAGCATTTTTGTGACTTAAGTGCAAGAAAGGATTTCTTAAACAAAAATTCGTAAGTGCAAAACATCAGACCAAAACCTGATAGACTCAAATACATCAAAATTAAAGTTTTCTGTTCAATGAAGGGCACTGCAGGCAAGGTTAGTGGACCTGTGACAGAATGGAGGGAGGCCTTTGCAGCATCTGGAACCAGAGATTAACACCTGGAAGTCCTGCAAATCCAAACAAGATAATTCTGCAATAAAGAAAAACGGTTGAGTTTTTAAAAGACAGTTTCAGAAGAAGAAACCCTTGAAGCTAACACATTAGCGCATGAAGACAGATTTAAAATCTTTCGTAAAAAAAATAAAATAAAATCTTTCATAATCAGAGAGGCACATAGTCAAATGACAATAAGATCTTGCTGTACCCCTACGAAACTAGCAAACATCAGGAAGGGAGTGAATATCAACTGCTGGTGGGGGCAAGAATACCAGGCTCCCTCAGGCATTGTGGGAGGTGGAGAGAGTGTAGGTTTCACCACCTGAAAACAAGTTCAGTGTTGCTGCTGAGCCAGC